GAGGCTGCTCCCCGGGCCCCACGGCGCTGCTGCTAAAAGGAGCCAAGGAGGCCCCAACCGCCGCGGTGGCCGAGGGCCCAGGCCGAGCCCGCGCACCCCCTCTTCTGCCGTGGCGCCGGCCGTGCTGGGGCGGAGGCGTCCCTGGGTGAGCCCGGGCCCGGCTGCCCGACGCTGAGGCGCTGCTCTGTGCCGCCAGGTCTGAAGGTGGAGATCACACACTGTGGGCAGATGAAGAGGAAGTACCGCGTCTGCAACGTGACCCGGCGGCCGGCCAGCAACCAAACGTAACCGCTCCCCCAGCCAGGCAGGGCCCCGTGGGGACAGTGGTTCCGGGAAAAAGGATCCAGTCCGTTTTGAAATTAGCCCAGGGTTCCCAAACCTCACAGTGGAAGGAACCTGGGGGCTCCCGCCAGCCCCCCTGCCGTGTAGAGCAGGGGCCCCTCTGTCCCGAGCTCGGGGCTGAGCATGCTGGGAGCAGCGGGCTGCTCTCCCTCCCCCAGTTCCTGGGCGTGGCCCTGTCTTAGCTGTGAGTGGTCCTGGCTTCACTTACCAGCCGGATCCAGGGCCCTGGAGTGACTGCCAGGCCGCAGGGTGGGCGCCGTCCTGGGGAGAAGCAGGGTCTCCTGGCCCAGAGGGTGTGGGGCACTGGTCCCGCACCGGCCCACCCACACGGTGGCAAGGGTGCCCGCACAGACCCGGGAGGTGCAGGTCCGGCCGGCACCTGGAGCTCACGGCCATGGACCAGTTTCAGAGCCGGAGTGTGTGTCGCGGTCGGCTGGGAAGCCGGGCCGTTCCCTCTGGGCTGGGCTTCATTTGCCGATTCCCCGCGACCCTGTGGCCACGTGTGCCGGTGGCATCCCTGCATACAGGCTCACGGGCGTTTTTATTTCCCAGCTGCAGGGAGCGTGGCAGGGCAGGGCCTGGGACGGTCCAGGTGACCCAGGGGACGGGTGTGTTGTTGGCCCCTGGGCGGGGCCTTGGCTGTGTGCCCCAAGCATCGCCCTGAGGGGCGCGGGGGCCTCCACTGCCGCCGCTGCCATCCCCACGGGCTCCTCTTTGTCCCCTAGGTTCCCGCTGCAGCAGGAGAGCGGGCAGACGGTGGAGTGCACGGTGGCCCAGTACTTCAAGGACCGGCACAAGCTGGTGCTGCGCTACCCCCACCTCCCATGTTTACAAGTCGGGCAGGAGCAGAAACACACCTACCTTCCTCTCGAGGTAAGCCCG